ACAAGGGCCTCTTTGGAGAAAGATGGGATGACTAACCCTGCTTACATACAACATATCATTTATTCTGTTGAAAGATATTTTCTCAGGATTTCAGCATTTTGTCAAGAATATCTCAAACTTAGGAAGAGACCTTTACACATGGTATTAACTTGATGATGATATTAGCATCAGCTTCAAAAGCTTATATACATTTATTTAATATGCATCTATATTGTAATGGAGTGAGTTGAGGGTCTCTAAATAAGGTGCTGCATGGTGTACTTACATGACTTGATACTACCAGGAATACAGCAAATCAATGTTTTTCAAGTTAAATAGGATGAATTTGTTGCAGTGGACGGTAATCGAACGTATCTAATTGTTTTATTGACTGTTATCTATTCTGTGCATGTAGTTAAGTCACAAACACATTCATCTTCAGATACTGAGGATATTGGATATTGATGTACGTGTGACCTCCAATGAGTTAATTTACAACTGTTTCCTAAATGTCAATTCATTACTGTTAATTCATTAATATGAAATGTATTGTAATCAGGAGCGATGTAGCCTATCCTGTCCAATCATTAGCCCCTACAGCCTTCTCTGCTCTCATCACTGCTGCATGCATTATTCACACGGAGCTGAAGCCATTAATATGTGCTGGAAGTAGAGGTCATAGGCTACAGCAGCCACAGATCAATAATGCTATTGTGTGAAACATAGCTTCGGTATGCTTTAGGGAAATTAATTGTAACTGCAGTAAATGATTTATCTAAGTATTAGTTGATCAAATTATTCTTTTACCTTATTTATTTGGTTCTAAAATGGAGAAACTGTCACAAAGAAGCAATCCGATCCTTATTTACGGAAGACGATTAGGGCCATATGTGAACATTTTAGAGATCTGACCAAATGTGATTATTTTTTTGTTTGTTCTGAGATTAAAGTCAGAACTCAGACTTTTACTTTTGGTCACAGCATTTTTCTCATGTGGCCCTAATCCTCTTCCATACTTATTCTTGTACAACTTTTCAAATCCATATCAGAACGGAGATTAAAGTGTGTATGTGTGCTGACGACACTAATACACTCGCACAAAGACAATGTGTACATAAATACCTTTCAGGTCTCAAGTGCTGAGGCTAAGTCTAATGTAATCGGTCACATTTATGACCGTTGCAGCAGCTCCCGTTTATCTCCAATCTTCACGGTCTGCTGTTCAGTTAATGACGCCTGAAGCCATCCCTTATCAGGATGCAGTGTTGACTTTTTTACCGTGCACATGCTAAAGGGTTCCTGCCCCTGTGCTTTATGTTTGCACACAGGATAGAGATGGGATTTTTTGCCAGATGTTAAGCTAAAAAAACAATGTATTTGAAACCCCGCTGTATTAGATCAGTATTCGATCATGCTTCCATATAACAACCTACATGTTGTCCTGCTGCACTCTCTGGGGAAGTCATGACATGTTGTTTATAGAGTTGTAAAAAACTATGGCTTTTTCTTTGTCAGTCCCTAAACCCTGGTCAAAAACACAACTTGATTTGGACATCAATCCCCACTGACAGCCACCGTACACTAAACAAGCAGTTAAAGTGTATATGAGCATGCCATAAAAGCTGTAAGTGGAGTGTGGTATTACACATTGATTGTGCTGGCTGTAATTATTGTACCATAATTCAAACTCATATTGGGGGACGATTAGTGTGCTCAAGTGTTTTTGACATCCAAATTGATTCACAATGGACCTTAAATTGTAATATCATGGCTTTTAACAAACTGATGAGTTGGAATAAACAAGGGGAATGGCTCAAAATGATTAAGTAGGGAATAAACCATCTACCATTCGAGGGAATTGATGTGTCCTCTTCCTCGCTATCACCCATTCCGCACAGTTAACGGTGGCCATCGTGAACATTTAGTTAATTCTACTCCAGTAATCAACCTCTCTGCCTTCACTTTACGGCCTGTAAAAGTCAATGACAAGAAATAACAATATGCACAAGACAAACTCATTAGCTGGCTCCAGTGTTTGCAGGTAAACAGTGAGAAAGTAGCAGCCGTTAGATAAGAGAAAGGGCAGATAGTTAAGGTTTTCACGGTGCAATAACCAAAGCTAATGCACTCCTGGGGAGCCATTTGGGCCCCCACGGAGAGGAAAGGCCATCAAAGATAATAGGGTAAACTTTTTCTCTCATCTTGTCCACTTTTACAAACTTTTCCTTATGAAACAGGATGAAGATGTACGTAGACATTTTATAGAAATCTACTTACTGTAGGAATCTACCTGTACAAATGGAGCTCTAAAAGCTTTTCCCTTTGCCATGACTTCCCCATTTCCATTTGCACGACTAGTTCAAGTACAAAAAGGAAGATTGCACAAACATGCTTATAAAAGTCAAATCTGTGTATACAAGCAATCAACCGGGAGAAGGTCTGACCCCTTCCTGCCGTCACGGACAAAGAGGGAAATTATTATGCCTCTGTTTTTTTTTACATTTTGCCTTATCTCCAGAGTGAGGGGAGCCACTTATATGAACTGAGTGCTTTCCATGCGGCCAGGTCTCTTTGCACAGCTCAGGAGACAAAATGGAGGGGAAGATGGGCTGCCCACTACCACAATGCTGTAATTCATGACCACATAAATGGCTCTAAAAGGAGTGCCGGGTAGCAAACAATAACATATCTCTCTTTAAGTTTCATGTTACACACTATCTCAGATATGGCTGAGGGGCATGGAGCAGTCAGTCCTCTAGAGCACATGTGTCAAACTCAAGGCCCGGGGGCCAAATCAGGCCCGTGGTGGATTTAATTTCGGCCCGCAGGATAATTTTTAATTACTATTAGACCTTCACTCAATCCTGAGGGTCTCCTCAGCTCGGAGCCTGACCCCAAACATTGATGAACTTGCACCCAAGATGAGATGCCAAGTATCTGGCTTGAACTAGCATCACAGAGCAGCACACTGAGTTTACATGGATGTTTCCTTCTGCACTTTCTTTCTTGCGACAACAGGGCATGTTTGGTTTGTTCTTTGAGGGAAATTGTTTTTTTGAAGCTGTTGTTGGCCTGTGGAAAAATGTACTCATAAGAAATGACTCCGGGAAAGCTGCAGATAGAGCCATAAGAAATGAATGCAACTGATTATTTAATGTTTAATGTTGGCAGTAATTTAAGCTTTGTTAGTTCCAGGTTTAATATGTGCAATAAGTTCATTTCAATACGTTTTTGCAATAAACATTGAACCAGTCCGGCCCTCGACTAGTACCCATTTTTTAATTTTGGCCCACTGTGTATTTGAGTTTGACACCCCTGCTCTAGGGGAACAAGTCAGGGCTTCTCATTTGGCATCCAAAACAGCAATGCCTTCTGTTATTGCCCCCCGCCCCCCTCTAGTGAATCAAAGTCTTTTCTGGAAAGCAGAGCCCACCAATTACAGCAATATCTCACCGGCTGATGTGTTTATGAGGGCTGGCAGTGGCAGCTTCAGGTAATTCTGACGGATGGCTATACAGGTGTCTGAGGGCTCGGGGAAAAGGTCGATGATTTGATTCAGAGCATGCTCTCAAAGCCGCTACTATAAATTAAGAAAGCCAAAGTGCTATTTCTGTATCACAATGAAATAAGACCAAATCAAAGTCTTACTCACCATGACTAGATATGCCGTAAATGTACAGCTCTACAAAACCAGATGACGTCCAACTCAATGGGACTGTATTCATGCGTCATAGCAGATCGGGAACAAGCCGTAATCTGTTCATATTGCCCTCAAGCTTTTGAGATTTCACGTCTTAGAGGTGTTGACTCAGGATCTCTTCCCAATGGACACCTATTACACAAAAGAAACCCCACCTCCTTGGTGTAAATCACTTTGATCCGCAGGCTTTGAGGTGTTCAAAAAGCCAATATCAAGGGATGGTGATATTGGAGGAGCCAGGGTTGTCGCTGAAAGACAATGACTGTTGTTCAAGTGATGTGCCATCCAAACATCCGAAGAGAAAATACCCAAGAGAACGGGCAGTGTCTCAGCAAACGGGAAAACAAGTAGAAAAACAATCCAACCAATAGTTGTGGAGATGTTTCACTCAAAACCAAGAAATTGGAAGCTTGTGGCGGTGCGATAGGAAGTCAGGGGATCACCAAAGAATCCCGAATTTGGTGCTGATGCAAATAATAATTGATATAAAGGAGAATGTATAAGATAGATGAAAACTTGTTGGTCTACCAGAAGGAAAATTAAGGGGGGATACCAAAATAAAATATGAATAATCCTCTAAAACATATCAAATTTGGGATACCTTTTCAAGAAAGTCCATCAAATTGAGATACTGGACTGAACCAATGACCAGACTAGCATTCCCACACCTAGAGTCATGCTGTAGTTTGGCTTACAATCAATATTTTTATGATATTCAAGTCGAGTCATAATGCAAAATGTGCCTTTATTATTATAGCAAATAAGATTATGGGACAAAATATACTTAAAAAAAAAACAGCTTGTTTGGTTTGGCTACAAACATTGGAACCGTTTTTTTTTTAAATTCTATTATCTAAAGAACAGATTGTGATTTCTACTGGACCACAAATGTGTTCAGTCCTTATACCACAGTTGTATTTATTTATTCCATGGACAGAACAAACATCCCATCTGTAAAGCAATCCTGCATCACATTAACATGTTGTAAGCCGTCTCAAACATCTTCATCATCACAGCCGTCTCCACAGCCCCACATGTAACCTGCGGACAACTCTATTTCCCTTTAAAAGTGAGATGAATGATGTTAATCAGCGCACGGGAGCCCTGCGCCTCCCTCAGCTCCTCGTCCTGCTGTAATAAAGCGGTCTGCCTGCATGAGTAATTACTCTCATCCGTCTCGGGCATATGAGCAAAGACCTGAGCTTCACTTAATGGCCCCCTTCTGGCTCGAGGTGGATCTAAGAACAGCTCAATTACTGAGTCTTTATGGAAAAATACTGTTTAAAGATTGTGTGAAAATAAATGGACACATAACTGAAGGTGGCGTTATACAAATATTTTTTTATTCATTTGAAGATAGCATCAAATGTCAGCCACTGAATATCCCTTTAAAGCTTCATCATTTAAGATAATAATTTTGTACAGAACTGCACAAAAAACAAGCCGCGTCTCAAACATAAAAGTAGGGCTAAGTCAGGATATCTTATACTAAATGCAAAAAAGTACAAAGATATGGGAAAATATTACAAACTTGATATTCTGAAAAAGCCCACATTCACAAATATAATAGCCAACTTAAGTGCCAACAAAAAGCCACATAATACTCTTTCATGTCTCTTAAGGGTTAATATTCGTAGCATTAAATGGATTCAAAACAAATAAAGAAAATTCTTAAATTGGAGACACATCCTAAACACGTCTTGTTTTACGCTCTACCTGCTTCTTTCTCGAGCAGTGTCTCTACCATTTTAGGCAAGAAGATTTCCAGGAAGTGAAATAAGTCGTGAAACACTCCCGTCTTGTCGCTGGTTGGCTCCAGCGTCAGCACCGTCTTCGTGCTCTCCGTCTCGCCCACCATCTGCGGCTGCACCTTGAACTCCAGGGTCTCCTTGAGCTCGGGCTCTTTCTCGATGATGTGATCTGTGACCTGCGCCTCCAGCTCCATGCAGCTGCCCTCCGGCCTGCAGTCAGTATCTTTGATCAGCTCCCTCCTCACTCTCCTCCGGCCGGCCCACACCATGTGCTTATGCGCGCAGATCCAGTGAGGGAGTTCGGGCTTTCGCATTTTGGTCATTCTCGGTTTTTTGCCTTGAGGCGACACAGATGCTTCGCTGCCAGAGGACAGCCGCCTCTTGGCACCGACCACAGCCGTATCGTGGGATTCTAAACTGTCAAAGCTGTCGTTTGTCGACGTGTTGAGGGACGTTTCCATTTCCCCGGCGGCATCGACCACTGAATCCTGACCGAAGGCGGCGTCTGTGGAGGGAGCGATGTCACACCTGAGAACATTTTCAAAGACTCCCTCCACGGCAGAGCAGACCTTCTGAAACCACAGCAACCGGAAACCATCTCCCGCCATGTGCAGCTCATTCCTCAGCGTTTCGGGTAGCGACGCTAACTTGAAGGGGATGCTGATGGTCAGCTGCTCTGTGTTGGCCCGCGGGGCATCCCCATGGGGGGTAAACAAGCGCACCAGCCCCCATGATTTCCCCTTGATGGATTTGCGCTGGTACTGCAGGCTGCGGCAGTACTTGTCAGCGTCCTGGCACTCTCTCTGAAAGCTGCGGTGAGAGCGCTCGGTCACGTTGCCAGCTACGTTGTGGGAGAGTTCAAAGGGGTCCAATAGATTTAGTGGGCCTAGTTTTGGGCCGTGGGGTTGGGGCTTGGTGGGTTTTTCCTCCTGCATGGCCTCCTCCGCTTTATTCTGGCTGAGGAAATCAGTGATTGGGAGTGCACGGCCTTTCCGGACAGATATGACACTACCGGCAAAATCGAAATTAGCATAGAAGGTGAAGAAGCCAAAGAGCAGGGGGCCTGAATAGAGAAGACACATGTGTACATATGAAGAAACATTAAGGGCTGTATGCTGGCTTTGTATTTAGAATATATGAAGATGCCACATTTCATTCTTATTAGTAATACTCTCACTTACAGAGGTCCTCCGTATTCTTGCTGGGGGGAACAGCTATAGGCTGGCTAGGGAAGGTGCAGTCCCATCCCTCAATCACACACTCTTCCTCCTCACCTGCAAAGAGGTTAACACATAACGATAAATAAATGGCATATCTAAACAAAAGGCAGCAAAACAGGCAAATGGTCTTGACATTATAATTGTACTGGACCAACTAAATCATCTTCAATATGTAAGAAATACTTTTAAATTAAAAAATAATTACGTTTTTCAAACACTGAAATAGAGGCCGACTGAAACCCTAGAAACATCGTATTCAAGTTCTCCATTTATAAACACACAATTTGCGAGTAGGAATAACTTAAGAGAATTTGTGGCTATTCATGTTAAGCACATTTTCTCTTCCTGTAGGTAAATACAATTGAAGAGTAGTTGAGAGATGTCACACATGTCATAAACAGATCTCCAGAGACGAAGAACACAATGATTATTTAACGTGCACTTCCTCGTGAAAAGTGCTGTTTAACTAACGGGCAAAATCCAAGCAATTCACGACAAATGTGTGCAGTTAAGAGTTTTAAGAATGAGACTTTTTTTTAAAAAGTAAGCATTGTTCAGGGTGAGATTATGAAAATGCCCCTGTCTGAGGCGTATTGAGCGTAGGAGTGATTTAGCACTTACACGCCATGTCTTTGAGCTGGTCCACTGTGAGGAGGGCAGGAGGATCACAGTTTTGCAGGAAGTAGATGATCAGCAGAGTCAGGGCGTAGTTGTTGAGAAGAGGACCGGCACCACTGGGATTTCCTAAAGGACACAATGTAACCAGTGATAAAGGAAAAGCTGAAACACACGGAAGTTGAAGGGCATGTTTGTGAAGCCAGATGTAAAACATAGATCAATAAGTATAATGTATTTTCTTTTGACATATGATGAATTTCTTTTTTGGGGACGAGGCAACACTGATCCATGCAAGTACTTTGAGTTAAATGTTGATGACAACAGCAGCCTAACATGCAACTGACCCCATCATGCTTTGCTAATCACTCTGCACAAGTTGGTTCATCTGAGGGAATAAAGATGATGTGCCCCAGGTGAAGAGGTAATTAGTGGGCTCTTTAGTGAAGAACACTTTTATTAAGATTGAGTTCTATATCAGGGGATACAGCCTGTAGTTATACAACACAAATGAAGATGTACTTGTGCCATTTCTTTAAAGCACATAACAAGGCACTCAAAGGTATTATAAATCAGGGCATTCAGACAAATGGGCAAGTGGAGTTCTGCTGACATCTGCTGACCAAAACATGAAATGACTACTTAAATGTATAGAACAGACAAATGTTGCACTAAGGTTTAAAGAGGCTCCATTTTCCCGTTTGGGGTTTTCCCTTCCCTGTACTGTTTTATATAGGTTGTGTGCATGTAAATGGTCTGCAAAGGCTAAAATCCCAAAGTTCCCTCAAGAGAGAGTTTCTGCCTGAAACGCCTCCATTGGCCTCCTTTGTTTACATAGTGACATCACTGCCCAACACTCACACTCTGACACATTGTACGTGATATGCTTAGGGGCGGGACATCTCTAAGCGGTTAACAGAGCCGGCCAGCTAACCAATCAGAGCAGACTGGGCTCTGGTTTCAGACAGAGGGTGAAAAGAGGTGCTGCAGCACAGGCAGTATGAGACAAATAAAGAGCTTTTTGAACATTAAATCAAATCAAGTTTTATTTATATAGCACATTTTTAAACGATTTTTGGTCGAGCCAAAGTGCTGTACATATAATAAAAATACCCTACAGTAAAGACACTTTACAGAAAATACAACAGCACAGTTTGTGCAGAATATCAGTATGAGAAAGAGCTTGCAAAGAATATAATATACAATACAATTGGTGTAATTGTTGAATATTTACTTTCAATTATTTGCCCTAGACTTCTGCTTTCAGACGTAGTTATTTAGGAAGATATTAACAGAACTGATAATAATCCAATGCAGGGCCAACAATGTAATACAATACATTATTTAATATATATTATATATTTACATATGTATATTTATATATAATTAAAATTACAACCGGCCCTTTGAGTGCAACCATAATGCTGATGTGGCCCGGGATGAAATTGAGTTTGACACCCCTGCATTAGAGGAACAAAATACTAATATGAACCTGGAAATGAGCATAATAGGGCCCTTTTGAGTCATTTCATCTTACCAGCCAGCTGTTTCTGCTTGGCCCAGTAGCGGAGGGTGAACACCAGCGGCCTCAGCCTGTCCTCCACCCCTGAGCTCAGCTGTAGGAAGCGGGTGTTCCTTACTGCCAGTCTAGTGAAGGATACAGGACAGGAGAAAAATAAAACCATTGTGTTATTCTGCTTTGTGTACAAGAAGAAAAACTATTCTCACTACAGTTGAAGACTTTTACACTGAATGCTTTTGTACCTGTTGTTGATGGTGATGTCGCCCTGCAGGTTCAGCTCCTGGTGATGGAACTTGACTACAGGGAGGCGAGCACTGCCGACCACGTGGACTTTGTGCACACTGGGGACACAGCGTCTGAGGATTGTTGCAACAAGTTCCAGGACCTCGTTGGTAGAGGAAGAGGACAGGTCGATATCAGACAGGATGGAGTCCTCTGAGCGGCCATCGTCTGACATGGCCTCCCCTGCCTGAAGAAAACAAAGACGATTAAATACTCTGCAGGCACTGTGAAAAGTTACATTATTGAATGTATCAACACTGAGGTAAATAATGGCCATGGTGTGTATGTAAAAATGTCACACCTGTTCTGTGGTGGACTTGGCACGCGCCTGGAACACCTTGGTGTTTTCCAGGTCCAGGAACAGGTCTATGTCGCAGGAGTGGACGCCGAAAGTGTTGATGGATGAACCGAATGGCAGAATCTGGCTGTCTGCAACCAATCCACAGATAGGATTAGAAGTGAGAGAGCCAATAAAGCTTTGGTACAATTATCACAGAACTCTCTGCTCCATAGTTTCTCTCTTCACTGTACATTTTTATATTCAGTCTAATATTTAATATTCCATCTGTCACATACTTATGTAAATATAATACCTTGCTTTATATCTTGTTAATTTTGTAAATTCAACATGTATACTTTCTAGTTTATTTCTTTTCTTTTAAAATTGTTATTGTACAATGTCTTTTTTTTGCCTCAAACATTTCCCAAATTGGGATCAATAAAGTTCTATCTTATCTTTAAGGCAAGATGTCATGGGTTCCCACACCTCCTTTAACATAAAGTCAAGACGTTTCAAGGCCCAATTCCTTCAAATTCAAGGGACCCAACATGTCATAGTTTCAGACACAGATTAGGGCATAACACTGAGTTATATCCGTAATCTAAAACTTTCAGGCTTAGATTTTTTTCCTTGAAGAATTTCAAGGACCCGTAGGAACAATGGATTTCAGAAAATTACTCTCAGCATGCAACTTTACAAAAGAAGTCACCTGGAAAAAACTCCACGAAAACCTCTTGCAGGAGCTGAACCAGCAACTCTCGGGCTTTCTTCTCATTGTCTCCCAGCTGAAATCGCTCGACAACGTACTGCATCTGTGCATCCACCTACAGAGAATAAAGAAGACTTTGATGACACATATGCGATATAATAAACTGTACTGTTCTCATTGAGTTAATAAGAATTATGTGGAGTCCAAAAAACTGATGATTGTAGGTGCACTTGCATAATTTCCTGTTTAAATATGAGGGTTGTATACAATGTTCCCAAACTGTGTGCTGATAATATGAGGATACACAAGTTATAGTAAGTGTAGTATAAAAAGTTAATTTATTTTGTATCAAACATGGTTAAAACTTTCAAAAGTCATCACAAGAAGCTTCTAGATGCTATCACACTCCTTACAATCATGTTTATTTGCCATCCACATAGACCCCTTCACGCTTTATACTTGATGCAGGACACTTACAGATGCCAACTGACACAGCTGAGGTTTGAGACGGTCCAGAGACTGTTGGAGGTTCTCCGACCCGGCCTTCTTGGGAATCAGCTTGAAATCCTTCTTCTCCCGAGGTTTGACTCGCAGCTTCAAGCCTTTCATCCGATGCTCGAGGCAGGACAGCGTGGCCTGTGTGCTGTTGGTCTCAGTGAACTGCACGATGGCGAACACACCCTGTGAGCGCAGAGAGACATCACAGTCAGACTATATCAGGGAGTTGAATGTCAGAGTGAAATTCTGTGGAACATCCAACCCAAAACTAAAATAACCTTGGTCACGGTGAGGCTGTATTATGATTAGGTATTATTTAGTATGAACTGCATCTCATTATGAACACCTGACTAACCTTGGATTTATCCATGATAACATCTGAGACCTCGCCGAACTTCTGGAAGTACTCAGTGATGTCAGTCTGAGAGATGTCAGGCTTGATGCCGCTGACGAACACACTGCGCTCCCCCTGGGCCTTCCTGGTCTCCTTCACCGTGCTCAGAGTCATGTGTTTGCGCCCTTTCACATGCTGACCCAGGCTTGGCACTGCAGGAAAAGAAAATATCAACAACATAGCCTGGCTTCATTTCATTACTTGAGTAACATTTTGAATACAGGACTTCTCTCTGGTACTTCTACTTTTACTAAAGTACAAGATCTGAGTACTTCTCCAACCCCTGTATATAGCACATAGATATGGTCCAACATTAGCTAACAGTATCAATTAATGTCATTCATTTTACATTTAAGAGACAATGATGTTATTATATTCCACTCCCTTCACAGCTTAAAGTTAGCTGGGATTATTTGTAAACACCGGTTTAGGAGCTACAGTTAAAATGTATGTCGGGGCTTGCAAAAAACAGCAACAATGAAATCATATATAAGAAGTTGAACGTGGCTAAGTTAGCTTTAGATACTTACAGTTAGGTAAATTGACATTGCATAAGATGCAGAGAAACCCTTTTGGCGTCACTTTTATGTTCGGGTTTGCTTCCATGGTGGTAAAAAGTTAAATGTAGCGATAAAGCGAGAAATATATTAACAATTAGTCTCCAGTGAGCCAAGGTTCGGAACGACAGCTCTCCATGCGCCTCTCAAATCTCCCTCCAGCGCAGCCTCTGCGTTTGTATCTGGTGCGTCTCTCAAATCCGTCCGGGTGTGTGCTCCCGTTTTATCATCCGTTTCCGGTTTTCCATTTGCGCGGCAAAGCCTGAAATAGATTCGGCATTAATTTTTTGGATAATTACATCACTTGTTCTGTATTTTAAATCATATTGATGTTATTTATTGCGAATGTATGAGTCGAAGTTATCAGCACAAACATATCCTACCGTTTATTTCTTAAATAGCATTTGAACAGCAAGTCTTTTAAAGGTCATAGAAATTTGTTTTCAATTTCAAAGCAAAGAGCTTGTAACGTTTTAAACTTAATACACAGAAAAACATTTTAAAATACTGTTTTGTGCAAAGGAAGGTCGGTACATTCATTATGACTTGATCTTGGCTAGAAGCTAGCTGGCTTTTAAAGCTCCATTTACCAATTTACACTCCCTTCGCTCTTTCACTTACCCTAAGAAAGTAATATTTTTAGTGCTGTGAATAAAACCCATGTTGTTTTTGCTCTGCACCAGAAAATGTAAAAGCCATTTATTTTCAGTCTTCACAGCAGTTCCTGTTAGTGACAAAATTCAGAACAATAATGGACGAGAGCAGTATCTGTACCTCAAGTAGGATTCATAAAAGCTTCCAGTGCTTTTAAGCTATTTGGTAAATTATTATCCCGGTCTTTCTTACAAAACGGTATTAGAGTACCAGAATAATATTTGGACATAAAGAAAAATTGAGACAAAGTTTTCATTCAAACCAATTTATTTATTTATTTATAACCTTTTTCGGCATACAAATATTTGCAGAAACCAGTGGTAAACACAACTTGTAACGAAATCAATGGTCAAAACAAAATTCCCTGCTTTAATGAAAAGAAAGGCAGTGCTTCATTTTTAAAAATACTTTCTAAAATGTCATTGACTAATACAAAATGACAAAGTACAAAAAGACTTTAAAAGGGAAAAAAGGTAATAAGGATTAAGACAATCTACAAATGCTTTTATTTCTTAGCGACTCTTGCTCTGCGGGGTTTAGGCTGTGCTTCAGTCTCAACACTTTCCACCTTGCTTGAAGTCTCGGCCTCGTCCGCAGTTTCAACAACGACCTTTGCCACTCGCTTGGCTCTCTTGACGGGCGCAGCTTCAACAACTTTGTCTGAGAGATTCTTCTCTTCAGTTTTGTCGGCATCCATTGACACAGTTTCGGTGCAGAGTTTTGACTTCCTGCTTCGGACTGCCTTTACAGGTGTTGCCTTTGGAACCTCAAGGACCTCCACGTCTGCGTTCCACTTGACGGATCTTTTGGATGTTTTTGCGTCTTCCTGAACAGCGCTGCTTGAATCTTCAGTTGGATTAGCTGGCTCGCTGGTCACTGTGGTGGTTTTTGCTGTTGCCCGCCTCCCCTTTTTGACCGGCTGTACTGGAGCTGGTGCCAGCTCTGAAACTGTGGATTCTTCGCTCGTCTCCTCGAGGGTAGGAGCTGCACCTCGACGGGCTTTCTTCGCTGGAATGGCTTGGGCAACTTCTTTTTTCGCCCCCCTTGATTTTCTGACTGGAGCTGGCTCTTCTTCACTCTTCTCTTCAGCCTCAGGCTTTTCCTCTGGTTCTACAGCAGCTTGTTTTCTCTTCTTTTTGGGTGGTTTTGTGTCTTCCTGAACAGCACTGCTTGAATCTTCAGTGGGATTAGCTGGCTCGCTGGTCACTGTGGCGGGCTTTGCTGCTGCCCGCCTCCCCTTTTTGACTGGCTCAACTGGAGCCGGCTCTGAAACTGTAGATTCTTCGCTCGTCTCCTCGAGGGTAGGAGCTGCACCTCGACGGGCTTTCTTCGCTGGAACAGCTTGGGCAACTTCTTTTTTCGCCCCCCCTTGATTTTCTGACTGGAGCTGGCTCTTCTTCACTCTTCTCTTCAGCCTCAGGCTTTGCCTCTGGTTCTACAGCAGCTTGTTTTCCCTTCTTTTTTGCGTCTTCCTGAACAGCGCTGCTTGAATCTTCAGTGGGATTAGCTGGCTCGCTGGTCACTGTGGTAGTTTTTGCTGCTGCCCGCCTCCCCCTTTTGACCAGCTCAACTGGAGCAGGCTCTGAAACTGTGGATTCTTCGCTCGTCTCCTCGAGGGTAGGAGCTGCACCTCGACGGGCTTTCTTCGCTGGAATGGCTTGGGCAACTTCTTTTTTCGCCCCCCTTGATTTTCTGACTGGAGCTGGCTCTTCTTCACTCTTCTCTTCAGCCTCAGGTTCCGGGTTTGCCTCTGGTTCTACAGCAGCTTGTTTTCCCTTCCTTTTGGATGTTTTTGCGTCTTCCTGAACAGCACTGCTTGAATCTTCAGTTGGATTAGCTGGCTCGCTAGTCACTGTGGCGGTTTTTGCTGTTGCCCGCCTCCCCTTTTTGACCGGCTCTACTGGAGCTGGTGTCGGCTCTGAAACTGTGGATTCTTCGCTCGTCTCCTCGAGGGTTGGAGCTGCACCTCGACGGGTTTTCTTCGCTGGAACGGCTTGGGCAACTTCTTTTTTCGCCCCCCTTGCCCTGCTTGATTTACTGACTGGAGCTGGCTCTTCTTCACTCTTCTCTTCAGCCTCAGGCTTTGCCTCTGGTTCTACAGCAGCTTCTTTTCCCTTCCTTTTGGGTGTTTTTGCGTCTTCCTGAACAGCACTGCTTGAATCTTCAGAGGGATTTGCTGGCTCGCTAGTCACTGTGGCGGGCTTTGCTGCTGCCCGCCTCCCCTTTTTGACCGGCTCAACTGGAGCTGGTGCCGGCTCTGAAACTGTGGATTCTTCGCTCGTCTCCTTGAGGGTTGGAGCTGCACCTCGACGGGTTTTCTTCACCGAGACGGCTTGGGCTACTTCTTTTTTCGCCCCCCTTGATTTTCTGACTGGAGCTGGTTCTTCTTCACTCTTCTCTTCAGCCTCAGGTTCTGGCTTTTCCTCAGGTTCTTCAGCAGCTTGTTTTCCCTTCCTGACACGTTTGAGCTTGTTTGTGGCACTGACGAGGGGAACCTCTTGGACCTCAGAAGCTTTTTTAACAGAGCTTCCTCGTTTAGGCTTAGGAGCCGCTTCGGTGGGAAGAGGCTCACTTTCCTCAACTGGGAGCTCAACATCTTGGCTTTCTTCAGACTTAGCATCTCTGCCTCTTTTTGTTTGCTTGACAGCGGATGGGGCAGCAGCTTCAGTGTTCTTCACCCTTCTTCCTCTGGATGGTGTAGGGATGACAGGCTCTTCAGATTGTTCTACTGCTTCCTGTTGACCATCAGCTTCTTCAGGTTCAACCGTCTTGGTCCTTCTGCCTCGAACAGATTCTTTCTTCTGGTCGGGCTTTGAGGAAGCCGTGTCCATTTCTGTGACTATTTCAGAAGCAGTTTCCACTTTAGGTTCTTCTTCAGATACCTTCTCAACTGCATCTTCCATAGGTTGTTCTTCAGTAACCTTCTCATCTACTGTGACCACTTCTGGTTCTTCTTCAGATACCTTCTCAACTGCATCTTCCATAGGTTGTTCTTCAGTAACCTTCTCATCTACTGTGACCACTTCTGGTTCTTCTGATACATCATCATCAACAGTCTCCATTTTGGGTTCTTCCACAGCTACAATCTCATCTACAGGGGCTTCAGAGACAGTTTTGGCGGCATCTGATGATTCAATATCATCGTCGACGACATCATTTGCATCTGCTTCAGAAATGAGACATGAAACACAATAGTGAAAAAACTTTAAAGTATAAATTATTTGTACATTTCAACAATTTATTTTTGCTATGGTTCCTTTCTATTAGTTTTAGCATAACATAATATAGTTCAAGTACAAATGAATACAAGAACAATAATGGGATCAATATTAGTCAACATACCTTTCTCCACGATAACTTCGGGAACATCCTTGACCTCTGATGGCACATCATCTTGTGGCTCTTCTGGGACAAAGTGCAAAAACATTCAGTCATTTATTGTAATGCGGCCTACATTCATGTCTTTGTTATTTATTTCTCTTTTTTCATATTGATCTCATCCAACTTAAGAACCAACTAACCTTTTGCTTTGACTTCACAACAAGTATAATCAACTGTTTCAGCCTGAGTGAGGTCTTCAAGTTCCGCTGGGGCCCCACTGCTCGCACTTAACATGTCGGTCGTTTCAGATGGCTCTTCAGATTCTCGCACCGGTGTCTCTGCACTTTCCTCAACATCATCCACACGTGTGGCTTCTGCTTCTGGAGCTTTGGGAGTTTCCAGGACATTTTCTTGGAGGTCTTCGATGGGTTCAGTCTCCTTTTGTGGGGTCTCACAAACTATCTCAACGACGGCGATGGACTCATGTTGTTCAACCTTCTCATTGGGAGTTGTAAGCAGCTCCACCTTGATGTCCTCTACAGCTTCCTGTTTAGGAGTCGCCATCATCTGCTTCACTCCGGTGAGACAGTCTTCCTGTTGTTCACGCTTCTGCTTAGGAGTTTTCAGAATCTTCCCTCTTAGGTCTTCGATTGGCTCGGACTTCTGTTTTGGCGTCTTCTTGATCCTCTTCACTCCGGTGAGACACTCTGGTAGTTCTGGCTTCTGTTTGGGAGTTGTTGCGGAGGTCTTCTTCAGATCTGTGCACTGCTGCTCGCTGGAGACGGGCACTTCACTGATGCAGCTAGACTCTTCATCTTCATCTTCATCATTGAGGAGGCGCTGCACTGCTTCACTGTTGTAGCTTCTGCCTTTCACTGAAGACGACACGGTCAGTGGAGACACCATCATCTCACCTGGAGAATAAGTCACATTAAAACATGTTACTTAATGGGTTCATTTGTAAAACTCTTTAGCCTTAGGCAATACAGTGGTGCAGAAATGGGTTCTAAAACTTGAAATCTGTTCCAGGCATTTCCAGGTTCCCTAATCTTAGTTTTTTTTTTACCGCTTTTTGTTAGATGCCTGAATTAAAAAGGTAGGGTAGGTAAGAATGGAGAAACCAGCTCGAGTGTGCTAGAATTTGAAAGTACACAAACGAAAAAAAATCTGCCCCTTCCTTCAGACTTCCTTACAGAGCCCCTCCTCCAACACACGAATGCACACATGACCAATGAGGACACCAGATAAGTTTGTGCACGAGATGGAAGGCTGACAGGCAGGTAGGCCATCCAGTTATTTTAGCCGGGCCGGTGAAAACAATTGGTCGTGCTTTTTACAGCTTTTAAAAAAAAAATGTATTTATTGTCAAAGCATTTAATTTATTCATTGCTATCGGGATGTTTAGAGCATTCCATGGAATATAACAAAAAGTGTTTCTGAAGTGAATTACCTACCCCACCTTTAAGGTCTGTTAAAACATGCGTAGGACTTTTTCACATTTTATTCTACATCACCTGTGAATGCATGAAGTTTCTACATTTCTTAAACAGGCAGTTGCCAACAAGACCACTCAAAACCCAATAAAAGTCAACCTTTATCTTAGCGTGTTGATATGAAATCGAGCACCTGTGATGTAGTGTGTTTATAGCCCTACCATAGCTTTTGTTTTTTTGGCAATTTAATTTATGCTTGAAGTGCTGAACATAAAAATAAGTATCATAAACCTGTGTTTGCCACAGATCTAATACAAATGTCATGCTTTGACTGACTCCTATATACAAACAGCACACACTGTACCTGATTCCTCTGGTGTGTTCAGCACTGATGGTTCAACCACAGATGCTCCCACTGGAGTCTTTGGGGCGTTGTTCTCATTGATTACAGATCTCTTCTTCTTGTCCGCCGCAGGGGTTTTTAACATTTCAGAAATTCCTGAAAACACAAAAGTACAATATTGAATTCCAACATACATTACCAAAAACAAGAGTTTGAATTTATTAGGATGTAAAAAGGGGGAAATTACCAGTCAAGTCCTCGTCCATTTTCATGTTCTTTTTAAGGAGTGCAATATTGGGGACCAGTCTTGGTGCAGCGCCAGTTGGAACAACTCTTTGTTGAGCTCTGCCCACAACAATGGTAACAGGGGAATCCACGTGGCCAGTGCTGCCATGGCCCATGATGTTTCTCGCAGGAGTCTAAGAAGGTTGAGAAACAGATTGTTAATGTAGTATTACAAATTGTTAAAGGAAGGGTAGGTAAGAATGGAGAAACCAGCTCGAGTGCGCTAGAATTTGAAAGTACACAACCGAAAAAAATCTGCCCCTTCCTTCAGACTTCCTTACAGAGCCCCTCCTCCAACACACATGAACGCGCACACGACCAATGAGGGCACGAGATAAGTTTGAGCACGAGATGGAAGGCTGACAGGCAGGTAGGCCATCCAGTTATTTTAGCCGGGCCGGCTCAGATGATTGGTCGTGCTTTTTACAGCGCCACGGCTTCCACAGATTTATGTATTTATTGTCAAAGCATTTAATGTATTCATTGCCATCGGGATGTTAAGAGCATTCCATGGAATACAACAAAAAGTGTTTCTGAAGTTAATTACATACCCCACCTTTAACCATGCTAAGATCACAAGATATAAACCCAGTACAGTAAGTGTTGACATGCAGTATGGTTAAAGGTCATTCGGTTATATTCGGTCCAACAAGTTATGCTGGTTGTTAGCATCTTAGTTGTTTACCTGTGGTTTGGGCACAGCCGCCTTTGTTGTCTTTTTGGTAACCATATGTATAACTGGAGCAAACACTTGAGGCTTAGTTGGTCCAAATCTCACAATGTCTGCCCAGGAATTGTTGACTGAAAGGAAAACAGTAAAAAAGAAAAAGGGGTTAAAATTATTTGAATGTGGTAAACAAATAATGACATTTTAATTGTGTCATCTATTCAGCTAAAGAAAACTTTCCACAGAGCTCTTGACAACTTTGTTCTTAACACACACACTTTTATTATCAATACAAAAGCATGATCAACTCCAAACAGTGTTAATGGGGTATATTTTACACTTCAGGGTCTAACATACCTTTCATAGATGCCCGTGAAATGCCACTTCTTCTGCGCATTAATGTTGCGCCACTTGGAGTCTCCCGTGAGGTGCTCCTCCTCCTCTGGGTTACTTTAGGAGTAACAGGAACAACATCTTCTGCTCCAGGAGATGGTGTGATGATGCGTGACACAGAGAAACGCCCTTGGACACTCGGAGTCAGGACTGCTGGAGATCCATCGACAGAGGAAGACCTTCCCCTTGCAGCCTTGGGAGAGGGGGTCCTGGATTTGGGTGATTTCTTTGCAGGAGTCTTCTTTTTTGCAGGACTTTCTTCCTCTTCAAACTCCAACAAAAAGAACAAGACACGTTTAAAATACATTCATATGATGTATAACATTGTGATGGAGACAGTTTGACCTGACATCTCTCAAAGTCTTACCTCTAACAAGCCACTGGCGGATGCTCGTCTCAGGAGGGAATTCTTGGTTTTGGACAAACGCGGTGTTGCCCCTTTGCGCAATGGAGAATCAGGAGGAAGACGCTTGTCGAATAATTCAGGACACAGTGTGCCGCCGAAGGAAACACGCTTCCTCTTCATATCTGGTACGGGCATGTCGGACAAGACTTCTCCACTTTTGCGTTTTTTGGACTTCCCTTTCACTAGGGAATGAAATGAACACGATACGTCAGGAAAAATACATCTATTTTCATATGCTTTGATATTTAGTTGAATTCCATAGGAAACTCCAGGTCATTACATTGTTTATTACCTTTCTCTGTTATGGGAGAGGTCTCTTCTTGTTCCTTAGTAACAGCAGGTGTTGCCTCCTTACTTCTTCGTCTCACAGGCGACTCCTCACATGTAAACCTCTGGGGGGGTGTACGGACTCTCTTCTGGGGAGTAGTCTCTTCAGACTGGGCAGCAGTTTCAGCTGCTTTCACTTCAGGTGCGGCCATCTCGGTAGAAGGAGTCTGGAGGGACCTTCTCTGCTTCTTAGCAGACTTTGGGGTGGTGTTACCAACATTTTCAGCCTCCTTGGTTTCCTCAGCTACAGCAGAGACTTTAGCTTCTTCCTTCTGGAGAGTGCTCTTGTCTTCTGTTGAAAGGACAGCTTTGCCCTCATTTTTCCTGACAGAAACAGGTCTTGGAGTGCAAAACCTGGAGGTGGGGGTTTGAAGGACACTGGCAGAAGATTTCCGAGGGGTCTTCACATCCAGGGACTGTTTGATCATTTGATACAGGTCGCCGAAGGGGGAGGCGGTTTTGCTTTGCTGCAGGCTGCTGTCCTGCTTGGGCTCCACCTCCAGGGTTTTATCCAGAGATCGCTGGATGTTTTCTTGGTTGGTGCCATCTTTCAGATGAGGGTCTAAAAATAAGCGAAACAACAAACTTCACATTAAAAACAATTAATAAAATAAAAATGTTACAAATATTCAAAAATAAAAATGTTGGACAAGAGACCGGAGTTAAAGGTAGGGTAGGTAAGAATGGAGAAACCAGCTCGAGTGCGCTAGAATTTGAAAGTACGCAGCCGAAAAAAATCTGCCCCTCCCTTCAGACTTCCTTACAGAGCCCCTCCTCCAACACACACGAACGTGCACATGACCAATGAGGGCACGAGATAAGTTTGTGCACAGATGGAAGGCTGACAGGCAGGTAGGCCATCCAGTTACTTTAGCCGGGCCGGCTCAGATGATTGGTCGTGCTTTTTACAGCGCCACGGCTTCCACTGATGACATTTTTTTTATGTATTTATTGTCAAAGCATTTAATATATTCATTGCTATCGGGATGTTAAGAGCATTCCATGGAATATAACAAAAAGTGTTTCTGAAGTGAATTACCTAGCCCACCTTTAAATGACTAAACTACCTGAGGCAATGGAGGACAAGGGGAAATCAGATTTTTTATTGATATGTCAGATATTTATTGACCGGGATAAATATTAAAACAAGAACTGTATAATCAATGATTTATTTATCCAATTTCCAAAGCATTTGATCAAAACTTCTAATTCTGCAACATTATCTTTAAATAAAGCACTTTCAACTTGTTAATGTTTAATAACCAGTCTCACCTGTGGAAACTTCAGTGGAAACCTTGTCCCCAACTTGCTGATCTTGGAGAACCTGAAGAAATGTAATTAACACATTTATTAAATTAATCAGCAGTGTAGGCAATTTCAAGACATGGGGATGGCTGCAAGGCTTTAGTGCTAAAAGATGCCAATGGGTAAATTACTTTGAGGGTTTCAGTTAGGCCTCCTCTGGATGACCTCTTCTTTGGGGTGGGTGCAGGAGGGTACTCAAACCTGAAAGGACAATTCAGAAAGAAATTGTAAGTTACAATAGAAACAGAACTTGCATATGGATGAGATTTAGTTTCCAAAACTCTTGATTGCTTTTTGTCTCTAAATGTGCACTTTAAGAACAGCATCTTTGATTAGGTTTGTGTACTTTCATGATTCTTGCACTTCTCCAGACTGTGCCCACATGGTTGCATGCAAGCATTATAAGTCACTTTGGTTTTAATAAGGTGAGATACTGAAGTGGTAAATTGATTAGGGAAGTGTGTGACATCTGTTGGTAGCAGATTATGCTCAACTCTTTCTGTTTATTGAGTGGATGTTAAAATGTAAGGCTTCCTCTTTTTTTACACACTTGAGGATCATATTATTTAAAGGTCCCCTATTATACTGTTTTTCATCAATATATTATAGGTCTCAGATATATACAAAACATGTCTGAAGTGTTTGGCTCCAAACACCAAACAGATCATTGCAGCATCCCATAATCCCCTCTGTTTCAGCCCTGTTTCCAAAGTGCTGATTCTCTGTCTGTTACTTTAGATGAAAATAAGGAGCCACTCCCAACGCCCCTCTAAGAGATATTTGGTTAAAAAGAACACAATGGTGCTCTAGGAGGAGATGCAGGTGATAAGGTGGGGGGGTTACCTTGGTTGGTGATTGGCTAATGGTTACACAAGCCACAAAATCGTTATGACATCATAAAGTGGCCAAAATCTGATCAGCTCATTTTCAGACAGGTTTTTATATAAATGGATCAGGACAAAAAGTTTTTTCCTGAAACTTTCAGAATCTCTTTACACAGAGGGGGGGACACATGTTTATGTATAAAAGACATGAAAAGAGGATTTTGCATAATAGGTCCCCTTTAAGTGCAAGTGCTGATCCTAACTAATTCAGTTTGATCCTGTTAAAATCTCTGGAGGCAACAACTTTCATGCTCACCTGAAAGAGCGGTCAATAATGGTTATCACATCTCCGTTCTTCAAACGCTCAGACTGCTGCAAAGCCTCTCCGTTGACACGGGTAGGATTCGTTGAGCTCAAATTAGTCAAAACAACCTGGGAGGGACAAACACAAACAATGCTCAAGCTGTCTGTATGACTGCCTTCGCATTAACAAAACAAAATGGTATGGCAGTAGACCAATGGAAACCAATATCCCCCTGCACACTAATTCATTCTGCCCCAGATCAAATATAATACCTCCCCTCCTAAAATTCCAGACCTTTAATATCAAAAAATAAATGTAAGACGTTTAAGACTTTTTAAGGATCCGCGGGGAACTTGTTAAAACAATGTGGACGTGTTTGGAATGCGTCATTACCTCTTTATTTTCATTCAAGTCAATCCTGCAATGCTCCTTGGATACATGAGGAAGCTGAATACGAATATCGCACTCGGCCACCCTGCAAGATCACAGAAAATTAAAAGAGTGGTATGTTAGGTGGATTTTCACTAGGTTTACATGCAAGTGGCACTTGTTCATATGCAGGAATACAAATAGTCGATGGCTTTAAGATGAAAGGGAACAATAAAGAGTCCCTTGTGCTTGATGCAAGAACAAGAGCAGACAGGCATGCACGATTGTGACGTTGGCAGCTAAGCCCCGCCCCCAGAGTAAAGAGGTCTTTACAGCACATCTGTTGAACTCAACATGAGGCTACACGTAGTAGGGTTAAATCCTACAATGACATGTGCTTTCTGTCGTGACAAATATGCATTTCTTAAGATAATAACTAGTAAAATGAGGATGACAAGAGTTAAAGGAACTTTGAATCTGAAGTCTGACATGGCACACCAACTTTAAATTCACATTTGTGTGATCTTACCTTCCGAACAAGCATGTTCCAGTAAGAGGAAATTCAGTCCCATCTCCTCCACTCCTCTTTATCACGACAATTTTTCCATGCAAAGGCATTTTCGTAACGTTACCTGGGAACATGTGCAAACACAAGTGTCAAAACTGCTTAACACACAAAAACGTACATCTTCTAAATGTACATTTACAGAAAATAAAGCATATTATAGATAGAAGCCTTTAACAAACATGCAACAAAGATCGTATTTTAAAGCTTAACTTTACTTCGAGTGAGATAACTGACCGATGCAAGCTATGGATGTTTTTTTGGCAACCATTATGTTTTTACATTTAGTCGACGTAATTAGATGTAATCGTTGCAATTTAGCAGGTAATCGATTGCGTGACTTTAATTAAAAAAACACTGCCGACAATTCTGCGAAACTCCACGTGTAGTTTTGCCACGATGTTGCCATTTTAATCAGAAATAAATGACATTACGACATAATAAACGGTTTTCAGTAACACATTCAACGCCTAGCTAACGACGAATTCAACGTACGTGTAATGGCCTCATATTGACCGTTTAAAAAAACATTTGAAACGTTAATGTTTTTAAACCTTACCTGTAAGTCCGCTCAAAGTCACTTCAACTTCTGGCAATCCATAAACATCTACCGGGACGTGACAAACAGAAATGTTTCTATAATATCACATCAGACTAAATTTATACTGTACCATGCCCTACAATGTACATCGACGAATGGCTAACGGAAGCTATGCTACCTAGTAGATCCGTCCCATGACTTCTCTCACCGCTTCCATATATGTGCCTTGGTATCACTCCGCCACATTGCAAACATACAGTAAATAAAGAAATCCCCCGGATTAACTCATGTTTTCGGAAATTATATATACATTTGTTTTATGTTACTTCGTTTTAAAGTTATTTCTTGTTTTCGGTCTTCATTTTTTAGTAACATTTACATTGTAGGGACTATTTTGTTTACGAATCGGCGGAACGATCTCCCTTCAGTAAAGGCAATCTTTTTTGAAAAGGTTTGAAATCCCGCGCGAAGGATTCTGATTGGTTGAAAAGTCACAACTCGGTTATAGGGCGGGGGCGGGGTATAATAGAGCCCAGATAGACCAATCACTGGGCTACTTCCTGAAAGCAAGGTTTGGCATATCCAATGTTGTCCTTAGATATATATTTATACAATTTAAAGTCCCGGATTATTTTTATTTAACCCTTCTGTTGTGTTCGAAAACTGTTACCGTTCATGGTGTTCGCGGGTCAATTTTGACCCATGATTGGGCAGAGTGATGGGAGACCAGGTGCATGTTGCGGATTGCAGAATAATTATTGTTACAGGATGAAGGGGGTGGGGTGCAAGCATCCATGGTGGGGGTGGGGTGGGGCTGGGGTGTCTAAAGTCAAAGATGAACCTTGATTGGGCCACATTTGACCCCGAGTGACCCACAACAATGCAGCTGGGACTTCCCAGACCCGAACACCAAATTATACACTTTTTTTTTTAGAGATGTTCAGACTTGGCTAAAATTGCCAAAATCAGTTTTGTAGTGTTTATATAGCTGTTGTGAAGGATATCATGAAGCCTTGTTCCGATACAAAAAACTAGAGGGTAGTTATTAGTTATAACTTGAAACGGGTCACGGGACGGGAGACCCGAACACAACATAAGGGAACATTTACAGAATTAAAACATGGAGAGCTTCTTCTGCACACTGCCCCGTATCAGAATAGTATAGTCTATTGTAAGTTATATTACTAAATGTAAATTATTGATGCATTAATAAAGTATGTTCGTCCCTGTAATGTTGCAGCAGGCAAAGAACACAACACACACACACAAATACATATATCTTTTTTCTCACACTGTATAAACGGCTGTGTAGCTTGTGAATTGCTCCAAGGCATTAACAATTGATTGCAACTATAATTTATGATTTAAAATGGCTTTATAGCTAAGATTACCCAGGTTTAAAATCAGAATAAGTCGGACAACACATAATGGGAGAAAAACATCTTCTGGCTCATAATTCTGTGCAAAGCATGCAGCCTGTTTCAGGGTCAATAGGTCATTCTAGACAGAGGTTGTTAGATTAGTGCCATCTTTTTTGTGAGTAATCCATTATAGGCCTAAAGGCAAGTATAGATTAGTCGGTCTGGGCCTAGTCCACACCATCAATCAAAATTACTCTGGGATGTTTCTTTTAGCTTCCTCTTGACAAGAACTTCAATTATGAACATATTCAGAAAGTAATAACAATATACATATAGTAGGGCTTAACCTCGTACAATAATCTGTTAATCTAGAGCCTGGTTCAGGATGTAAAACGTTTCTTATGTCACTTCTTAAAATGCATTTAATCTACTTTTACTAAAGAGTGTGTAAATTGAGCTCGAATGGCAAAACAGGATAATTGCAATAACTATAAAAGAAAGGGACAGTACACAATACAGTTGGCAAACGCTTTACAGTATTTAATTGAGCATGTGTGTGTTTTACTGCATATTAATTAAACTTTCAAATGAAGGATGCATGATTTCTGACTCAAAATGTACACATTTTTTACTTGATATTAAGAACAATCATTGTCTGTTATTTATAACGTGAGTGATGATGTGAAAGGTGTAATGCTTTATTTAATTATCAAGAGGGAGCTGTTTACTCTTGTTAGCTGTATAGCTGCTATACAAGATAAGAAGCTCAAAGGTTTCAAGAAAGTGTTAACAAAGTTGATGACTGCCTCTTCATTTTATCTTAATCGATGCTTATGATGCATGAAAACCTACAGTAGCAGAGAATGAAAATAATTACACACAGGAACAACACACACATTTAATATTAAATGTTGGTTTTATTTTAATCTTTTTTTTTTGTCGTTTTGTTTTTTTCCAAAGTCGCTTGATAATCTTGACAAAATTGCAACATATTCCATATTTCTCAAACTGACGGTGTGTCTGTTGCTATTCCAGATTAGCTGTGGAGGGAAAAGTTGTGCGCTGTTCTGGACAGGTGAAGTCCTAAATGATGAAAGCAGCTTTGACCGTACAAATAAAAAGAACACGTGAACGACTCGGAGAGACTCCACACTGGCATCCTATGTCGTAACGTTGCAGGGTTGGGGGTAAGTGTCTCTCTGCACAGGTCCTGGTCTGCCAGGCCGAACAAAAAAAACGAGTGAAATAAAATTCAGGGGCTCAGTAGCAGACGTGTGTGTGTGCATCTGTGATAGGAGGGTTAGAGGGGGTGCAGCACAGAAACATAGAACAGGCCAAGCACACAAAATGATTCCTTCCTGAGACATTGGCGTGTGTACAGTAATGATGGTCTAGATGAAACGTGTGTTAACGGTGAAGGCGTTTTGGCGTAAAGTGAGTCACAGGGTGCGAGGTTGCTCTGGATCCGGCAAAAAAGTCACATACTCGTTTCTACCACAGGTTGCCAGGGGAACATTTGTGAGGACTTAGTTGACAAACATCACATTTGGGACCTTCACTTGCCTGACCGCTGAGGGAGCAGAGGCATCACTACAATCTATTATTTTCCCATCCACTACAGATTATTGATCCATTCAGAGGCTACTGAGAATCACTTGTGTTTAATACAGTGTGTATGTACACCATTCTTCACATTTGAACTCTCTTTGAAGCTGAGCTGCTGTGGCTCACTTGAACCTGGCCGGCTCCAAAGTGACGTCCGGCTCACCATTTTCAGAAAAACACCATTTCTTTCTGCTACACGGCCAAAAAAAAAAGCTATGCCCCGACTGGAGTGCTACTTTGTCAATCTACTGTATGTAAAACATCTTTTAAAAGTGAGAGGGGGGAGGTTTAAATTGTCTGTGAAAGCCACATCCTGAACAGCCAGTGATTGGTTAAGGGTCTGTCCAGTATTTAGTAGGACACAAAACATGAAAGAACTTCCTTCAGTAAAATGTGCTCAAAATGTATTTTCTTGCATCACAAACCTATAAACAAAACACATAAAAGGTATTCTTAAAAAAAAAAATCAGGTGAAGCCTAAAACTCTTCATAGTTTTAAAGAAATGAATACAGCTTATATACACAAACTCAAAGGCTACTTAAAATACACCTTAATAATGAATCTTCATTAATTTGATTTCTTGAAAGGACCTGTGACCATATCATACAACCAAGTTCATACAATCATTTTTTTTCCATTCTCTTGGAAGCAAAAAAAAGAAAAAAGGAAAAAGGAAAACAAATCCAACCTGGAATAGTAGGTGATATTCATTGCGACTTGTTTTCTGTGCACATTTGTGTGTGTGTGTGTGTGTGTGTGTTTGCATGTGTAGACTGGAGAGAAATTTCAACATCTTTTGCTTTTCCTTAATTAGAATAATGTACAAATGTGATAAAACTGAAAGGTCTCTCTCAATACTCTCGATGGGTATGAAAAGATTCAAACAGTGAAGGAGTACAACCATTTCTACTCTCAGAAAACATGTCGTCATTTCAACCTGCCATTCTGTTCCGGACGTGTCCATCACAATAACCTTTTTCTATATATATTTATATATCTTTTGTAAGAAATCTGTCTTTTTTAAGTTGGAAAAAGAGAAAAGACCCAGAGTCTTTGAGGAGGGGGGGTCTTTTGACAAGTCCCAAGCTTGCAGTCTGCCTCAGAGTTCAACAAAAAAAAGTGTCTGGTGTTCATCAAGTCAGTCTGAATGAATTGTCCTTGATCATATATCTGTCCCGCGTTGCCCCGCCCACTCTCGATTCCAATCAAAACTGATCGCCACTGCATCCGTTTCCATAAGTCTTTAGGAGAAAGGTGGAGAGGGGAGGAGCAGCAGTGGAGGAGAGAGTGGAGGGAGACGGGGGAGACGGGGGGGGAGTCTTCAGCAGTGTTTACGGTGTGGTCTCTCAGAGGCGTCCTGTCACCCCGGCCCGCCCCGGCCTCACCCCCCCTCACATCAGGACGGTGAGGAAAAGGCAGATCAGGAGGTGGGGGGGGGGGGGGGGGGGGGGGGTTTGTATCGTAAGGAGAGGAGGAGGTTGGCTCTGCTGGTGTTCAACAGTCAGGGTCCAGGCCCCCCCCCCCCTCCTTCACCCCTTCCTCTTAAGAACGCAGAGAACATCGTGACGGAAAATGAAAAAAAGGTGGGCCGCTTCTACGGCGATTGTGTGGCGGGACTGCTTTGGGCCGAGCTGGGGGACAGGCTGGGGCTGCAGGAGCCGGGGGGGGGCGCCGCTCGCCCGGCTGCTCGCCGCCGCGCTCTCCAGACCTTCCGAGTTCTCCAGCATCTCCTGGATGAGGGGGGGCATGGAGCCGGGGATCTCCATCTTCAGGGTGATGACTCGCTCGGCTCCTGCAGGGTGGGGGAGAGACGGGAAAATGTCAGACACCAAAGATCTTACAAAATGTTATAAAAAAAATTCTGACACAATTTTGATGACTCCAGCAATTTTGTATGACTCCAATATTCACTTGGTCATTTACAACAATCTCTGCAACTTATAGCTTATTGTAATTCTTTTTTTGACATGTATATAGTGGACTTTATCTGCATTACTTGTATCGCAACATAACCTGCAATATTTATTCTACTCAGCTTCTTCTTGCAGTATTTTTATAGTTTTTTAATGTGTTTTATTGTTTTACGTCTTATATATAATATGTTGCAATGTTGGAGGAGTCTTGGACTTAAGATTTTCATTGCCCTAACCACATTGTAGCTACTGTGCATATGACAATAAAGCCTTTGAATCTTGAATATGGCATGACATGGAGAAAAACAACCAAATCTAATGGATTAAATGTCATTTGATATCAACATTTTAAACAAGGTTTCAGCCTAACTGAACAATAATTGAATCAACTTCTTTTTCTAGCGTTATATGAACACACATGAACAGCAGTGACGGACCTTTAGCGCTGATGCTCCTCAGATCGGTGATCTTCATCAGCATCTTGGGGAACATGTGCGGTTTGTGGGGCCTCCTCCTCCTTACGTAAATCTTTAACGCCTCCAGTAGAGGCTCCTGCAGGACGTCCACCTTCTCGGCCTGTTCCAAGTCCTGACGATCTGTGGGGAAACACAAGAGTACAGATACTGTCATGATCACAGTCATCCACTAGGTGGTGCTCAAAGACAGAGCCCAGCATACTGCTATTTCACCCAGAGACAAAGTCCAGGGTCCTAAACTGATGATGTCACAGACTGTCAATTGGTACAGAGAATGTGCAATAGGTTTTGAGGAGATGTGCCGTACCTCCACAGAGCAAACAGATGGCGCTGAGCAGCCCCGTCTCTGCGTCGTCCATCTCCAGAGGAAGGAGCTGGTTGGCAAAGGCAAAAACCAGGTCGGTGAGAGGGCCGAAACCTGCGTTGTGCATCTGGGTTCGATTTAGCGTGAGTCCATCTGAGAAAGTCATGGTGTCCTGCTCTGGAGTGTAGCGCGTACAGATCCGGAGTATCTGTGGAAAACAGAGAGAGAATTGGTTAGAAATGACAACAAACACTTCTGTTTTGTGAACATATTTTTAATAGAATGCTGGGGATGGTTTCCTACCAGGATGTCCAGACAGGCGGCCTTTAGCAGAGTGATCTGGTCGGCGATGGTGAGCGTTGTGAAGCCGGGCAGCTGCTTAGCAAACTCCACCGTCTTTATGATGCACTTGGTGGAGAGTTCACTGAACTTGTCCCACAGGTTTACGTCCAGAGATACACGTCGTTCTGAGCTGTTACTCTGGAAGGTTGGGGAGAGGGGAGGAACATGTTTTTAGATACTTCCAGTACAGGTGACAATACACTACAGCTAATCAAGGTGAAGCACACAGGTACACATGGAGTGTAGTGGTACTGACCGTAGTGTATTTGCCCAGCTGGCACAGCGAGGGAAACGTTTCCTTGTGTGCCTTTCGAACCCGTTCGATCATCCTCTCCGTTTCAGGACTGAGCACGTAGATCTCCATGCACTCCGGCTTCTTGTCATCCTTCTTCTTTTTGTTCCGATCGTTCCTCACTGCTACAGGGGGGACACAAGAGGACATGATGATTACTATGTGGAAATCAAACACAAACATCAGCTCTTGACAAGTGTAAATATCTAAACTTAAATAAAGAGGTTCATACGTTTTTTTTTTTAGCTACAACTAAAGAACATCAATGATATAGAAAATAACTATGAGTGACGCACGATACAAAAGTAAGTTCCAACTTTTTATGATTGTTTAAGGACTATTGAATTCAAAAATGGGGGAAAATATGGAGAATTTCTGCTTTTTTCTTTTCTATATCATACCTTTGAGTTGGAAACTGACAAAACAGAAGATTTAAATGCATCCGTAATCATCAGAATAATCAAAAACTACAACAATAGTTGGTTGCACACCTCATACATGCGGTCTTCATCTGCTAATTATCAAATATGTTCTTGTCTGAAAAGGTATTGTTACGTGCTAACAACCACACTGGCTTTATGTCCCGCACAGAAACTAGCACAAGGTAAACTGAGATCAGAGGCAGAGTCCTCAGCAGGAGAGGAAGCAAACGGCCTCTCTTATCCTGCACGGCAAGATAAATGTTGTGAGACAGCTCCATCGCAATAGGGCTATTGGAAAAAAAACCTTGAAATAATCCAATGTGGTGTTGCCTCTGGGCGATCAGGCTGAGAATAGTGTGCTCACCCCAAATGACAAAAAACACTAGGCGGGGTGTTTAGCATTGGAATCCCATTACAGCCTCCATCCATTTCTCCTATCCAGACTGGGGTGCAGTTTAGCTATGTCAGGGCTGTGTGTGTGTGTGTGTGTGTGTGTGTGTGTGTGTGTGTGTGTGTGTGTGTGTGTGTGTGTGTGTGTGTGTGTGTGTGTGTGTGTGTGTGTGTGTGTGTGTGTGTGTGTGTGTGTGTGTGTGTGTGTGTGTGTGTGTGTGTGTGTGTGTGTGTGTGTTGAGGGTGGGGGTGGGATGGGTGAGACGGGGTGCTAGTTGATAAATAGTGGTGGGGGATGGAGCCATCCATAAGGCTGACAAATTGCCACAGCTTTCATTAGGGGTCCCGGCTAATCTAATAACATAATATGACAAATATCCTGCCTCTAATGGTTTTAAAAGGGCTCGGCTCCACACCGGAAAAAACCTTCCAGCTCTTTCACTCTTCCTCTCACGTCTCTCTCTCTCTCTCTCTCTCTCTTGGTTATACAACACACGCTCTCTTTCCTACTCTCATTTCATTCTCACCGCCACACTATCCCCCCTTTTCCAAAATTGTATTTCTCGTGCATTAAATCATCCCACTTTCCTAAACTCATCACTATCAGCCCTCGCATCTCTAACTCCCCTGGAGGTACCTGAATCTCCCCCTAGCAGCTGACCTGAGATCAGATTTTCCTTGTCTTAATCCTAACCTTGACCATTAAGGGTGAGAGCGCTCGGGCTGATGGGAGATCAGTGTCTGTGACAGAGGGGCATGGCCCAGGGCCAGCGAGGGATGCACCACTCGGCGCTGCTGCACATCCATCAGCCCGCAGACAGGCCTCCCTGCCTGGGAGGACATGAAGGGAAGGAGGGGGGCGGGGGCTGGAAGTCTGATGCTGCAGACTGTTATTGCTAAGCACTGCTCACCACAACAAGAAAAGAAGAAGACCCCGCTGTGCAGATGTATTAATGGCAACCGTGTGGTATAGTGTAGCCCAAAAATACATGTTTATATGCAGCAGGAAACAGTGTGGTAAAGTGACACAAAACCCAATTTTATACGTTAAAGTGGTATTTTTATGACCTATGAATGAAAACAAGCAAAATAAATAAATAAAATGCTTCCTTTTACTTTTATGAGCTAATTATGTCTTAGTTAATGAAGGAACTCCCTCTTAGGCAACACTCAGCTTTTGAGTCCAGTCCCATAAAACTATAGTGCTCTGAAGATATTTGGGCCAGCCCCGCTTGTGGTGCTGATAGTGAATCCTGTTTCCCCATGAGGGAAGGAGTGGGGGGGCTGCAACACAGTCGATGTCCAATTAATTCACAAATAAAAGTGGGGCATCCCTAGCGCCCAGACATTACCCGCGCTGACAAATTGGCAGCACAATCATAAGCCGCACAACACAATTTAATGAAGTCATTAAAGAACTATTAGGCACGACTGACGATCTGTCATGGCGAATTGCCACATGCAATAACTTGGGTTGGGGGGGGCGGGGGTGACTGCAGCGGGGGAGCGAAAATGAAAGAAATACTGCCTCCCATTTTTTTTTTTTTTTTTTATGATGTGTGTGTGAGTGTGGACCCGAATGTGCATTTGGTGTTTGTGTGCGTACTAACTTGGAGCAATGCATCTTTCAAAACGCATTATGGGAATATGAATGCTAATGGGGCAACTTGCATCCTGGATTGTTTGCGGTTACGTGTTCATAGCATAAAAATGATTTACAAGAGTCTGTGTGTAGCGCGTACAGAATACTGTGACAGCACACACACACTGCCATCACTCAATCACCCGTTCTCATAGTGGATTTCAGCTGCAGTGTGCAGTTAATGGACAATTTCTGTTAGTGCCTTTGTGCGTATGTGTGTGTGTGTGTGTGTGCGTGTGCGTGTCTGTATACAAGACAGAGAGAGGTGGGCAGACAGGGATAATTCGTGTGAGGAAAATTAAAGCGCTGGCAGCTCGTCCATCACACAGATTAAATTCAATGGAAAGATAAAAATGTCAATGTTCCCCGTGCTCCTGCTGCTCGCAGCGCAGAGCCACCGTCGACAGTGATGAAACTTTCTCCCTCTCCCTGTCCTCCAGCTCCCTCCCCCCCCCCCCCCCCCCCTTCTGCTCTCTCAACTCTAGATTTTCATTCTCACTCGATACTCTCCCAGCCTTCATCTTCCTCTGCTATCCTTCCTGGCTGATGTTATCCTCCCCTAGTTCTCCATCATTCTTTGCTTCATCTTATTTTACTATTATTGCCTTTTTTTTCTATCGCTGAATAACACCTTCCTCGAGGAACATGTGGGAGACCGTTTTGTGAGGGGGGGGGGGGGGGGGGGGGATGATTAAGGGAGGGAGGTACCGAGCTACGGTGGCTGGTCTGAACTCACCGACATAAATTCAGTTTCAAGGATTGTGCTGAACCATAAGCTCTTTCCTTATACACAGCGGAAGAGTTCAAATACTGAGGAATGACGTTATTTTGGCAGAAATGCTTTTTAATATTCATATATACTCTAAATGCTGCTTAAAAATCCAGTCATGTCCAACCTGTAGCCTTTAAACAACGCTTATCCACTTATCAGAATATATGCTATAAACTGTTAGCATTTCAAGCTAAAGGGTGTTTTTTTTAACTTTTTAGGATTTAAAATGATTTAAATTTGATGATTGATTATTGAAAACTTTATTTTCTTTTATAATATATTGTACATCAATCTTAATTTCGACCATGAGTCTCTAATCACAACGAACTTTGGACTCCTGTCTATAAACTGTTAGCATTTCAAGCTAAATGGTGATTTTAACCTTGTAAGAGTCTAAAAATATATTTTGTTCCGAGTAGTTTAAAGAGTAAAAACGACCTGGTATGTAAAAATAAATGAATCAGGGGAAAGGGGCTGGCTACGAGCAAAGTATGCATTTAAAAAAAAATGGAAATCTAACAAACGTTATTTTTCCCTCATGATCAATATTGCGCTAACCTTCATTAAGAAGTCTCGGTCGTCTTTAACCACACACTGTCAGGTTGATGATAATGTGGCACCAGGCTTACAGGCGTTTCCCTTGTAACCCTCCACTTGCTCCTAACACCTCCCCCCCCCCCCCCCCCTTCTGATGCCGTCTTGCTTGGCATTGCCACCTGGCAGCAGGCCTGGCACTGTCGTCTGGAGCCGCCTGCCGACACACGCAAGGTCACCCAGGCACCCCCCCCCCGACACGAGCAGGGGGTCCACCTTCTGTGAGACTGAGAGTGTAGGGTGTCTAAGAGTTGCTGTCCGAGTGCATTCTTGTTTTTATTCATATCAGTTTGTGTTTGTCACTTTCCATGTGCATAATTTGTGCAGGAAATGATGCCCAAGCATGCATTTTTGGTGTGTGTGTGTGTTTTGTGTGTGTGTGGAGAGGCAGAGACTCCCTGCTGGCCCCAGATGGCCGGCCTCTCCTTCCTCACTAGCCCTGACCAGTTTCATTAGACAAAGTCATCGCCGAGGACACGGAGACAAGCAATCGACACACTGCACAAAATGACGAAACCAGAAAAAGAGATCGCAGATAAACCAAAAGCAACTGAGCAAAGATGGCTGGAAATATATCCGATAATAGTTATTCACTCCTCTATTCCATTCAGAAAACCAATTTGAGCTGTTTTGAGCTGTTACGCATTCACCACTAGATGGCTCTCCAACTCCAATTTTCTCCCCTGTTGTGAGCTTTTGTGAGTGTAGAAAAAGATGGCTGCTGTGATCCGTCTAACCATGATTAATGGCCCCATTCAAAGGTAAGGAGCTCAGAGGATAACTTCTTTTACTGTAAGCCACAGTGCTGTGGCATGGGGAGCGCTCTCTGCTCTCACTGTAGCAGAAAGAGGAGGTAAATAGCGGCGGGAAGACAGGAGGCGGAGAGGGATGGAGCTATGGAGGCTGTCTGCATGTGCTTATTATCAATATATGTAGTATAACTAATCACTTACCAGTATTGATGTGTACAAACGTGTCTGCACACACAATCTGGTATAAAAAGGATGGTGTGTGTTGATGTCATGTGATGGGGCCTCTGTGAGTTCTGTGCGGTCACACCTCTTCCAATTACTTTATCAAGTCTGACTGCCTGCGTGTATGTGTGTGTGTGTGTGTTTGAGAGTGTGTGTATGTGTGTGTGTGTGTGTGTGTGTTCACACAGCCCCCGGGGTGCAATGATGGGAGCAGACGCCTGCTCTTTCACTCTCGGCAGGTGAGAACATATTCATCACTGAGGCCTGCCAAGCCTGGCGACACCCTGACTGTTATTGCCAGGCTGCATCACGGCTGCCCTTTGTCTGGCTTTTACAGTGGATATACTCGTCAAAGTATGAAAAGAAACAAGCGACTAAAAGCATCAGTGTGTGAGGAAATAGTAACAGCTTTGATTTCACTCCGACTTTGTTTCTGTAAACAACAAAAGGTCAGAGTATTCTTAGAAAATAGATAAAAACCAACAGGACGGGGTTTTTAATAAATAATAAATCAACAGTCACACACAGGACCGCCCCCAAAGCTGATATGTGTTTGCATTATGTAATGTTATGGTAGTGGAACAAATGTCAACAAAAGCTGCGGCTTAAGACTTCATTCAGTGGTAACAATTAAGCGAACCCCTCTGGGATTAAAACAACCACGATGAGATCTGTGCTCGACCCTTACAGCCATGTGGGAGGAGCAAGGGGGTTCTGGGTAAAAACAGTGTTAATACTCACACTCCTTCGACATCCCGACTTCCAGGCACTTCTGCAGCCGACAGTACTGGCAGCGGTTGCGGGTGACTTTGTTGATGATGCAGTTCTTCTCCCGGTGACAAGTGTACACCATGTTCTTCTGGATGCTTCTCCGGAAGAAGCCCTGCGAGACAAAAAAAGACGGAGGTGAGACGAGGAGAGAGGACAGGTGTTTGGCGGCTGGCAGAAGAAGTGTGAGGGCAAAAGTAAATAGAGCAGATAAACAGCCAAATGAAATGTGATTTTCCTGTTGTGTGTGTTGCTATGTACTCATTCTTTCATTCTGTGCTTAATGCAAACTCTTCCCTCATATGTTGCTCATGTACACAATGTTCCTTTCCATCCTGTTCTTTAGAAAAACACTCACTTACTTGCAAGGTTAAAAGATGGATATTAAAATGGCTGTGCAGAAGGGCAACAGCAATTAAATGGCAAATAAACTCAAACAGTCGAGTCCTTCAAAGGCTTATTGCGTTACATAATGTGGACGGAGACTAATAGTCAGTAAACATCTCATGAGGTCGCCCACCTGCTTAGTGACGGACACCACTGATAATATTATTATTTTTTTTTTTGCCTTTATTTAACCAGGTTAAAAAATCCCATTGAGATCAACGATCTCTTTTTCAAGGGAGACCTGCGGTACATTAGTTACACATATAAAAACAAACAGAAAACAAAAGGACATCACAACATAATTACAGGGGTATACATTAGCAACCTATTTACATTTACAGGTATCCAATAACATTTCATCCAGCCGTGCTTTAAAACGATGCAAGGGAATCAAAATGCTCAGTTTCAATATTTTTTGCATTTTGGAGATGTTTCAGGTCCAAAGGGCTTTTTTTGGGCAAAACACACAGGGTTACTCGGTGCCATATAAACTTGGCCTAGTTTACACAGCCAGAAATAAGAGACTCTATATCCAGGCCAAGCACAGAGAGAAAGAGAGAACATAGCGTTCAAAACAGGAATCCCTCTTTTCCCTTATTTCCCTTTTCAATCCGAGAGGATCAAAGAAAACTGAAAAATTATACGGAGCTCATCGCTGGTCGCTGAGCTGAAATGAGAGATCTTTGGGGAGGCTAGCTTTGTTTTGATTGCACAAAAGCAAGAGAGCAAAGTACCCCTGATAGATAAGATAAAAAGACATACCATGCAACCCCAATAAATCAATGTTCACCTCTGTGACCTCAGCGTGTCAAAATGGAAAAAAAGGTTAATGCAAATCTACTGAGTACTCAGCAAAGCATGGCTCGGAAAATACAGGTCAATACGAGTATCGATGGGACACAGTGGGGTATGTTTTTGGGTGGGTGGGGCTAGCTAGTAAGAGAGGGAGGTGGGGCGGAGTTGCCAGGGAGCCCCATCCCATGCCAAGGGATTAGCTCTGCTAGCCGACAGATGGCTGGTGGACCTAAGCCCGCAATTTGTCCCTCCCGGATCACCGGCCCCTCCTCACATCTCTGTCCACCGCCGCGCAGTGGAAGTGATTGCGATGAACCAAGAGGAGGAAATGTGTACGGTTTGTCATGTATCTGTTCTATAGTTTCGATTACACTTCCAGCTGGTAGAGGCAATCCTCAGAGGGTCACATCAGCTAACCCTTGTCCGGATTTCATCAAGGCCTACAGCTTCTTTGCACGTAAAAAAAAACGCCCTGCTTTTCACGCATCATTTCTAGCCTAGGAATAAAAGGTTTGGTACCTCCTTCTCTGACCTGTGATGAATCAACGGCAAAGTGGAGACAACAAAGCTCGTAGTTTGCCGCTAAGTCTCTGTGCTGATGCTGAGGGATACGTGCGTGGTCTTTGTGTGAGCCTGTGTGTGTGTTTATCATGTCCCCTTTGATCCGCCGTTGCCCTGACCCTGACCCCGGTGTCACAGGGTATTGACCCGCTCCCCCCTCCCGCACCACGAGGCTCAGGTGCCCTCTCGCAGCCCCTCCCTATTGGCTGCCGCTGCCGGCTCGTGGGCTAGTCGATTGTTCCTGCCCCTCCCCCCCCCCCTCTCCTCCTTTTAGGAGTCATTGCTTCCTGTGGCCCTTAAGCCTCTTTTTGTATCACCGCTTAATCCACCCGGCGACAAGAGCCCTCAGCGGGCCTGTCAGCCACCCTGCAGCGCTCAAAGGAGATGAGAGCCTCAAGAAAAGGGGGACAGGGAGAGGGGGGGGGGATGAAAAAGAGAGGTGAACGGCAACAGTACACACATGATTGCGTGTGTCATGTGCTCTCAAATTCACGCCCGTCTACCTGGTTTGCATTATGGGCCTCGTGCCTTTTATGAGTACTTTGCATGTGTGAGGAAATGCTTTATTAAGAGGCAAGAAAGGGGGGCGAAGAGGGGTTGGCGAGTTCACAGGGAAGCACAGGAATCCTCTCTTACGTGACTTTCACACTGTGCCCAGATTAAGAGTGCGTTCCCAGCCTCCCGCTGCGTGCATGCATGAGTGTGCGCCTCTATTAGGAAGCAGCTATGGCTACAGCCCGCACATTAGCAAAGACTGATGCTGGAAAACGCAGCAAATAGCCCACATTCTCGCTAGAAGCGGCGGTTGGGGGATTTCGGAAATATGGTCGCTTCTCTCGCATCGCAGGAAGAAAGATGGCCTGCTGCGCGCCGCGTGCCTTCAAGACAAAAACATAAACATGAGGGGGCGGGCATGCATATTTAATGTTAAAGTGTTAATATCTGGAGGGGGAAAGAAGTGCAATGCCGGTGAGTATACGCAGGCGGCAGAACTTAAACAACAAACGAACGAGCTGCTGTCTCCAAGTAGCAGAGCGCAACTTCCCCCTCCTGTTTCCTCTGTTCGCTGCAGCCCCCAGGAAATGCCTTTGTAGTTTGGCACGCAGCAGCAAAGCCGGCGCTGCTAACCCCCGATTTACCCCAGTCTCAGATGAGACATTCATATACATTCACATGCCTGTACTGTTGAATTATTAAGTACGCTGTGCCAAGTCATCTCCTCTGAAGTCAGATATAGAGAAGGCATCCTGAATTTTTCAAATTAGCACTGCGGCTGTTCAGTGGGCGGACAGAAGGTTCATGGACAGGGGACGAGCTGCTGACGCTAGCTAGCTGTTAAACAGGGGATATTTTTGTAGTTTAGCCAACATTCCTAATGATTATAATAGCACTAACGGACTGAATTATTGCGTTTAATCCTGGATTAGAGTTTAAACCTTCCAGGGCGCAGAGAGCATGTCATCAACTGGTGATAGAACTTCTCAATCAAGTTGTGTGTCATTCTTATAAAACAGTGTCTGAATTAAGACAGCCCTATCCGTAATGGACAAAGCCCGAAAAAGCTAATTACAGTGTCAATTGTGAGTACATTTCTGAGCCGTCAGAGAGAACAATGCGGTGATCAGGAAGGACAAACACCTAATTACTCAAGTTTACAGCTTCTCTTTTGTTTACACTCCTCCAATGTTTATCACACTGTGGCAGAGTTTTTACCTACCAATAACAAGTGTTATATTGTGTTTTAAACGCCTCATTTGTCTTTCATAGACCTTACTCACAAAACGTTACATAAAGGTGTTAGTGACCAATGGCTACTACAACCTCTGCTTGAGGTGACATGAGGACGATTTAACACCGACACTAACCGCATAACAGATTTCATGCTTCTATATTAGTCTAACACATACAGGTGGCTATTAGACAATGTTGAGCACTGTCAAGGGGAAACAATAAAAGCACCTTGGGGCTTAAATAACTTCTGCACACCTTTTGAAATCAAAATGAATGCTTTTAAAAAACATGTAAGCACCTGAAATAAAAAACTTTCAAAAAAGTAAGGTTTCCCACGGCCACATTTCCTGCCTGTGCCTGTTTTGAAACACGAGTTAAGAAACACAACTTTGAAATCAGATTACGTTGGAAAGTTTCATCACAAATCATGATGACACTGATTTATCTAGTGTCGATAGGGAGGGTTAGATTTCCAGTAACCTGATCAAAACTGAGTATGGAATTTTATGCAAAAATAAGGTTGATAGGAATGTATTTTTTAAAACAAGATATCAGAAATCTAGAGGATATCATTAGCAGATATTTAAAGAATCCACAGGAGCTCATGGAGCAGAACAGCCAACAGCGGTTTGGCCGACCCTATAAAACAGCACAGTGGTCTGCTTTTACTAACTTAGTTAACTTTTTATAAGTCTCGCTTTGGGAGCAGGTTGAGTTTCATGGAGCTCAGTCAGAGGGTTTGTGTTAAAGGGTTAAGTGTTTGTCTGTATGAATCCTTGCTTTCCTGTGCCCTGGTCCCTTTGTGCATTCTTTACCCATTTCCCCTCCCCCTATGTGAGCTGACCGTCTTTTTTTTGGTGTCAATGAGTTCAACCGTGGCCCCTGTACCCCATCAGCCTAATCTGCTGCCCCTTCAACCATCCCCACTTCCCTCTTTATAGCTTTTTAATGCATCCCAGAGCACCGTCTGCTCTCTTTATCTCACTCAGAGCAATCTTTGTATCATTTTGTCTGCATTTCCACATCCTTTTTAAGTTCCTTCCTTTCCTTATTGTTTTTTTGTACACTGCTGCTGCCTTCTTTAGTAAGGTTTTTTCTCTCTGCTCTACCCCCTTTCCTTCTTGCACATATGGCAGCACACACCCCAGTATTGGCTGCACAGTCGATAAGTCAAAGGGTCTAGCAGGCACCTGTCACCCACAGCACCACCCTGCCTGCCTTCATCAAACCACTCCCTACTTCTGCTATACACAGTCTGTTGTTGGGAGAAAAACGATTTTTTTCAGTTTGGGTTAACACTCCTCAAATCCTATGTCTGTGAATTCAAGAATGCATGATCGCTATGCAAAAGACAAAACAAGATGGTTTACTCTTTTACTAAAGTATTTATCCATCTATCTATCTATCTATCTAAAATATTGACTTTGTGGATGTATGAGATTCACACCTGGCTGTTGGATTACATTAGATTCCACACTTTATCCCTTCAAGTTACACAACTCTGGCTCTGCGCCTTGGGAGAAGCGAGATAAAGACAATTGTGTGCTCATTCTAGCAGGAAAGCATGCACGCAGCAACTATCAACTGATAACGGAGCAGATGGGGGGGGGGTATAAGGCCTCTTCAGACCCTGTATAACATGGCTGTATTGATACCATGTGGACACGTAAGCAGAGTTGATACGACCGAACCTACAAGGCGGACAGAGTCTCACATACTGTCCGTACTAGACGCCATCATAATCTCTTTACAATGTGCCATAGGTTGTGAAAGAGGCATGTTAACCAGGTCATATTGATCATTAGCTAACTTGATAACGAAGTCACATTCGTATCTATCGTTTCTTATTCTTATGCACACCCTGCTGTTTAAACATCATATGTAATATTAGTTTTATCATGCAGCACATCATGCACTTTTTTCTGAGACAGGAATTTTTGTTACGTTTCTCAAAAAGAATGTTACGCTAGTTTTGATCTCATATGTTTGTTTGTATGTATAGTTTCTTAATATGTAGGTGTGGAGAGCTGAGCGCAGTGCAACTGCCCGTTATACTGTACATATGACAATAAAATATCTTCAATCTTGAATCAAATTATGAAGTTTTGACCCAACATTAAATTCCAGCGTTAAACCTCGAAAAACCCCAAAAGGATGTGAAATACTCAAAATGACGTGCCTTATCATTTTCATCATCTGAGTTTAGCCTGTGAAGTTTCCCCCCCCCCCACCCTTATAAATCACACGAAGGTTACAGGATTGACGAAACATCTTGCTTGCTTGGCAGATTCACAGGAAGGCCGGAGTCTCACCTTGCAGCCTTCACAGGCGCTGACACCATAGTGGTACCCTGAGGACTTGTCCTGGCACACAAAGCAGGGCTTGTAGATGCGGGGCGGCGGCGGCGGCGAGGGCGGGCTTGGCACTATCTCTTCTGAGCTGGTACTCTGGGTCTCTATCGCTGTGGAGAGGAAAGAGCAACAAGAAAGAGAGGGGGGGGTGGGGGTTAGTGAACACTATCAGATGGAGCGCTGACAGACACGAGGCCTTAATCGATATCAGTTGGACAAACACAGAATCGCACACACACACAGATCTTAAACAACTCGGACTGCTGACAACATCCAATACAAATCACCAGGAGGGGGACTTAATGGATTTGTGTTTAAAGATACAAAAACTGCAACGGGCAAGGACAACTTTTGGGTTTTTAGATGTGCCAGGAATGACTTAGAACAAACACACACTCATCAAAACAGCGATAATACAATCTCTGCAGACGTTTTTTGTAATTGACTGCTTAAATGATGTCTTGTGTGTACGAGTGTTACATCGAGGGTCCAAAGACAGGTTTCTCCTCTTATACACGCCATTGTGCTTTCATGTATTTATAAATTGTGCAGTTTTTGAAGTAGGGATGCTTGAAAATATTAAAGTATAAAACATACACGGCAAATAAACAGCAAGAAATACTGGCTTCTTAACGTACAAGGTGATGTCTGTTAAAGAAGATTACACAGATAGTATTTCAAAAGAAAAGAATAATCATTATATTTAAGAGGCTGAAACAACGTGTCAATTTATCGACAGAAAAGCATGTGCTCTTCTGCAGGGCTAAGCATAATTATCACTGCTTCTGACCGAGAAAGACATATCTTTGTTTACTCTCCCCGACCGAACACACACACCTCAGTCCCTCTTATTCAATATCCAGTAAACAGAGAGAGGCCGCTCCGTCTTCATCCAATAAGCACTAATATGACAACCCGAACAACATGCAGGCTCCTGTATTCTGTGGGCTTGTGCATAGTAAACAAAGGCAGTCCAGGATTGTGGGGAAGTCACCTGCTGTTTGCCTCGTGTAATATGTATTGGACTTTGACCTCAATATCCTGTGTGTTACAAAACAAAGCTCTTTAATCAAACATAAAAACACACAGTCACAGCGGTGACCTGCACCCTGGGGCCTATGGCTGACTAAATAAGTATATAATCCCTTTTTTTGAACGGTGGATTTATGAGCTAGCATGTGTGTCCCAATTGCATGGAGTTTTGTAATGTTAGAATTCCTGAGTTTAGATATCCAAACAAAGTTAAACCTTCCATTTTTTTCCATTAAAACGCACCATTGTTGTTGGCTGTCACACAGACTCAAGAGCTTACAGTGCAAACATTACATTTTGACGCTTTTATCCAAAGCGACTGGCAATAGGTGCATTCAATTATAAGGATACAAACTCCAAAAAAAGCAAGAATTCCTTAAGTAAATTAGCTTAAAATAAGACAAACCTTCCTAAGTGCTACAAACAGATTGTAGGTGCAGTCTAAACGTGTGTTTTCAGTCTGTGATGTAAGATGTGTTGACTACTTTCTGCTTCACTGATTTCAATTGAGAGTTGGGGAGTTCCACTTATTCAGAGCGACGATAACATTTTTGTATTGAGGGGAACTCTCAGGGAGAAGCAAGCTGATTGGCTGAAGCAGAGCGAAGTGCGTATGCTTGGGTGTATGATTTGACCATATCCTGGATGTAGGAAGAGCTAGGAAGTCCAGCTAGTGAGCTAAATCCTTCCACATACAGGGTTATATGTGGTCATCATTGCTCCACCCAGCATCATCAGCTCAACAGCAGAGGGATTGGGAAGGTTGACAAGCAGCTCAGCGTGTAAATAAGCCATCTATATTTAACAGATTGGGCTGGTTCAGCAGGCCGTAGTGCAGCTGGGAACACACACTCCATGTGACGGCACCGCGGGCAAACACTTCCTGACACTGCACACACACCTCTAATCGAGCTGCACACTGGGCAATATTAAGCCAGGATGAAGTTTTTCTACCACACACACACACACACACACTTTCCTATCCTTTTATAGTGCCTGTGTGCTGGTCTCAGCTTGCCAATCTCCCTGTGCATGCAGCAGATGGTGCAAGGGAAGATTACATTCAGAACAACCAAAATAAACCAACCTGATGCCCAGATATGTTCAAGGCTTCCTGGAAAAAATAACAGATACAAGCACGGTACACCAAAATCCAACCTCTGCAAAGCCTGCCTGTTATCTCTGCCCTCGGGAAAAACACACACAGCGTATTCAAGTGGGGTTTCAAGTGACGTGTGACAGTAAAGCTCCCGGTAATAAAGCTTGCATTGCAACACCTAACAGTGACACCTAATCAGAGCCGGGGATATTAAGACATTTCATTTATGGAGGCCCAGATGTCATGTGCCACTTTGACGCCAGCCACAACCTTTCATGATCTCGGTGTAAATAGGTCAATGTGGGTTAGAGGGTGAAACTTGGGACCACAGCCTGGAGTGACACACTTATTGAACAGAGATGCTTTTGTGAAGGAAATGTTTTTGACGGGAAGAAGGAAGGAAATGAAGTGAGGAAAGCAGGGAGGCACACAAAGACAGAAAACCACCCTGCGTTTGAGCAATAAATAAAGACACACAAACTGATGAAGTGAGACTCATCAAGTTCGTCTAACCCCTAGATTCCACCGGGTCCGTCTGCGCCGCGTTGCGGTTTTGGTCCGGCCTCCTCCGGCGTCATACCCTACCAGGCGCGTTTCAGAAGCATTTCAGAAGCGGAGCGTCTTGCCTGCCGGCTCGCAGTTTTTGTTGATTTGGGCATATTTCCTGGACAGGCTACTTTGTACAGACAAAGTTAATAATAACTGTAATATTCCAGTTATAAACGACATGAATCAAAGATGTGTTGCTGTATTTTAGTGGTAAAAAAATGCATTCATCATCATAATTATTCTATATATATATAATTTACACAGTGCCTGTAAACCAGAGGAGAACGCTGGCATTTCTCCTCCTACTTGAAAGACTACGGAGGGATAGGGTCTGCAAAATTTGTTTGTGTGTATGTATATATCTATATATATATATGCTCTGAAAGTTCCACTTCCTGCCTGCCCGACCTTATGTTACGGCTGCGCCGCGACAAAAATAGGATTCGATCCTAATTTTAGAGGAGCCCTGTGCCGAGCCGCTTCTGGGACGCTTCTGAGCCGTAACGCGCCGCGTGTGGTGGAATAACACCCATTGACTAGAGTGGCCGCGATCGCCGTGAGCACCGCGGCACGCCCGTAACGCGCCCGTAACGCGCCCGTAACGCGCCCGTAACGCGCCGCAGACGGACCCGGTGGAATCTAGGGGTTAGACACACACAGCTGTCAGGTTTTTACTTACAGCTCAGAAAACTACGAATAGGAATATTTTGAAACTAGGAAAGGAGTGATGCGATTGAGACGGGGTGTTGAAATGTTCTCTTAAACAAGAATTATACTATTTTCCAGCAGAGAGAGTTATGCATATGGCAGTAAGAAGACACAGTTATATTGCTGTGGTTAAAAAGGGAAAAATATGAGGTGATTTTGTGCAAAAGGTAGTGAAAAAGGGCATCTTCTGCATCGCATTGCCCTTTTGATTGGAGTCACTATGGGTCATGTTAGTTCATGCTACTTGGCCATGATGTCACCACACTCACATCAAACAAATTGAACTTAAACAGAGCAGCTCTTACGTAACATGGCATATTTTTCTCATTAGCAAAGAACCATTCAGAGTGTTCTGCGCTCTTCTGCCTCAGTTGATGCGGACCGATTACGGCCTTGCGTTATTAGTGTGGCCACGGAGCTATTCATCCATGTGAAAGCCTACTTCCGTAGAACGCATAGACACATATGTGCCACACACATTTACGTGTAAAATGGCACTCATGCCTACATATTTATAGGGCTTTCCCGGAGTCATTTAAAAAGCCTCAACGCTTGGACACACAGCGCGTAAACACACACACAGAATGCACAGTCTTAATGAGAGCACCCATGGAAATCTGGGACACGAGGACAAGAGTCTGTGAGGGGGCTGGCGACTGTAATTAAATACAATGGCTGGCTTCTGGAGCCCTGTCAGGCTGAGGCATGGAGCGAGACAATGGCAGGCCTGTGGACATCAGGGCAGAGGGGCTCGGCGGAGAGGACAGCGCTACTTAGCCCCTCAGCAGCCCTCGCCCGGGCACTATTCAACACCAGCCCGCATCCAAGCCCTGATCAACACCAACCATCATACAAGCCTGCCTATTGTGCGAAATCCACAAAATCATATGCGCAAACACTGGAAGAAGTGACTCACGCTGGCCTGGAGGGCTTCCTTCCATCTCCTTGCAACATATTAACACTGGGAATGTGTCTGGCAAAGGTTTTCGGGCCCTCAACCAGTGATGTTGAGTAACTAAGTAGATTTACTTTGTTTGAATTTAATCTTTATTTCAATTTTTGACTATTTGTTCTTCTACTATCTGCACCTTTACCAGCTTTGATAACACTTGATCATCAATAATAATCAAAACATATAATATATATTATTCTGAAATGGGCCAATCTGCAGAATAAGTAGTTTTGGTACTTTAAGTATATTTTGATGTCAATACTTGAGTAACATTTTGATTGCAGGACTCATACATGTAACAGAGTATTCCAACACTCTGGTACTTCTACTTTGAGTACTTCTCCCACCTCTGCCCTCAACAGCCTGCAAAGACACCACGGTAACTAATACTCGAGATACAGCTAGAATATCATTCCTTTAGCGGAGGGAGGGGATCATGAAGAGACAATAACACACTAACACTACGCTGATAAATAACAAACATTGAGGAGTTACTGATAAGAAGTCTCCGGTTGGGAGGTGAAACACACATCACACGGACTCAAGGATCACCGCATTTCTTGTAAACCAAACATGAGGCTGCTTTGAAGACTGCAGCCTGGTATGTTGTCAGACCAGTCTGAGGAACACACAGCTGTCAGGTGAATCCAACGGAAACTAACCTGACAGCGCTAAGATGAAACATCAGGAGCCAATTTAGAGGAGGGTGTGTCAGGTAACATTTGACCATTGGCTCTGGCTGGAAACAAGCTTTTCCTGCTGATTCTCAC